AGTCTGCAATCAGACTAGTCGCAGACTTACTTTTACACTGAGGAAAGACTGAAGAAACCGACTCTTACTGCCTTCAAAAACAAAGAAAACATGGAGAGACATAACTGCGATATACTAGATACTCAGAGGAATTGATAAGGCATATAAGGAAAGACTGAAATTCATGAACCATAAACATGGAGCTGAAGCAGCATTTATGACAGAGAAGAGTCAGAGGAACATGAGGAAATGCATTTCAACCTCAATCCAGTGGAACGAACTGATGAAATGGACGAGGCTTTATACAGTTTCGTGAGTAAGTATGAGAGGAAACATCTCAGGCCAGGAGCCAGTAATGGAGGACGATAATGTTTTACGAGGCTACTACTAAATAATAGCAAACCTGTGAGTAAACACACACACGGGTAGTGGTCGGTCGGGGCCGCAGGGTGATGTTCAACACATGGCCTCACGCTGAATCCTCTTATTATACACTCCTGGAGACTGTAGGTGGGAGCATTGCACCGGGGAGAAGTGAGTAGCAGAAGCGGAAGTGACAGAGGAAGAAAAAAGTAGAAGGAAGAAGGAAGATAGAACAGGGAAAATGGAGAAGAGAAATGGGTGTACACACATAAATAAAGGGGCACACTAGAACAAGAGAAGCTCAGTATATTTCAGCCTCACACTGAGGTCCTCCTCAGCAGTCAGTATTCATTGATCATTAGTTTTAGACATTAACTTACATGAACTTTCAACTTAATGTTCTTATATGAAAGTGGAGACGGTAGGGAGCCACATGTACAGTGTCACCCGCCCTCCTCGACCCTCTCATATGTCGAACATTCCTCTCATGTATCGAACACCCCTCTCATTTATCAGACACAGCTAAACTGCAGTCAACACACGAGATCTCACATATTAGATTGGTTATTTGTTTTTAAAGTCTATGGGCTACTCAGACTTGTCATTAAGGCTACATGTAACCTGTACACCAGAATACTATAATTCCTGAGGTAGGAATTTAAGTAAACTGTGGATATGCACCGAGAAACATTAACCTAATGATGTATATATATATATATATATATATATATATATATATATATATATATATATATATATATATATATATATATATATATATATATATATATATATATATATGCAATAAGATCACAGTAAACAGGTGATTTTAAAATATGCAAAACAACCACTGTGAAAGAGTAGTGAAATTCCAAGCGCTTTCGTGAAAGCGCTTGGAATTTCACTACTCTTTCACAGTGGTTGTTATATATATATATATATATATATATATATATATATATATATATATATATATATATATATATATATTATATATATATATATATATATATATATAATATAAAGGATGGGGTTCACCTCTTGTGTAAATTGTAGGACCCTTAGCTTCGGAGAAATGGATAAAAAGGCTTCAAGGAAAAATATTTGGATTTCTTTTTGAAGCCGTTTGAATATTATATATATATATATATATATATATATATATATATATATATATATATATATATATATATATATATATATATATATATACACACACACACACACACACATATATATATATATATATATATATATATATATATATATATATATATATATAATATATATATATATAATATTCTATGTGTGATTGTATTGTATAATGTAATTGTTAAATATATATCCAAAACACCCACAGAGTGGGGTAGCTGAGAGACAGCTCTAGGACTTTCGGGTTGCAGTCAACACACTATCAAGAGTTTACAATAGCGAAACAGAAATAAGTTTATTTATTTAGGTGCAGGTACACATGAATACAGTTACACAAATTATCATAAGTAACATATGTGTAAATTACCTAGGATAACCCATAAAAGTCAAAGAAACATTGGGGTCCTTGTAATATCTTATTATTTAAACCTGGAGACCAGCCCAGGTAGGCGTGTCTAGGAAAACATCCCACACAGGAAGAGAACCACCCAAGCTCAAGAAGGTATTTTAAGAGGCAATAGAAAAAGACTAGCCAGCGTATAAGCGTTGTAGGTGTGGTAATAAACGGGAGAATATATCGTTAATGATATGTCAAGAATCAAGATAGAGCCAAATAACTTATCTCTTGTGTGTGTATTTGTGGCATTATCTGAAAATTTTCTCACAAAGTAGCCTCACAGACCAAACACAGTTAATGAATAAAGAACGAAAAGGCATAATACCGTGACTGGCACAATACACAAATAACCCGCAGATAGGAGAGGGGAGCTTACGACGACGTTTCGGTCCGACTTTGACCATTTACCAAGTCGCACTAACAGAAAAGAGTTCTGTTCTGTTCTAGATTCGTCGGTATAATCGCCCGGCCCGGGCCTCTTCCAAGAGGTGGCCCGGCCTTGGCTCCCTTTCGCGGGAGTCTCAGACCAATGTCTGCCATGGGAGGAGGTACAAAAATCTCCTCGTCTTCTGGAACCAGCTGTTCCCAGGCCTAGCTCCATTCCCCGCCCCCACGGGGCTCGAAGGGAGAAGCTAGGCACCTTGGGCTGCCACAAACCCCGCCCACACTGGGCTCGAAGGGTGTGGCAGCTGCATAGCAGCAGATGATGTCAGGAGGTGCAAAGGCAGCAAGCACTACAGGATCATTTTCGAGCCACATCCCAGCTTTGGGCGGAAGCCCGAGCGCTGGGGAAGCTCAAGAATGTTTCTTGCTGTGAGTGTTGCCGCTGTTACTTCACTTGTCCATTGCACTCCCAGAAAAGAGTGAGGGAGCCAGTATATATAGGCGAGCGGGACAAGGACGGGAACAAGAGAGGAAGAAAAAGAAGTAGTGGTAATGCTGTTAATGGAAGCAGTAGCAGTTTAGTTAGTTTAATATGTTTATTATGCACCCCATACCCATCCTGTGGGCGGTAGTCAAAAGATTACAGAGGTACATAATTGGTCCAGGGACTGGACTCCAAAGTTTTGATAGCGGAGCAAGTTACAGACGTAATGAATTCACAATTTACAAAGGTAATGAACTCACAAATTACAAAGGTAATGAACTCCAGGTAGGTCTAGTCACAATCATGACAAGTTACAAAGGTATTTACAGATTACAGAGGTACGTAATGGGTCCAGGGACTGGGCCCCAAAGTTTTGATGGCTGAATTAGGTACAAGGTAATGAACTCACAAGTTACAAAGGTAATGAATACTGTAAGAATGGTTAGCAGCAGTTCTACTACCACTACTCCATTTTCTTCCTCTCTTGTACCCCTCTTTGTCCCTCTCGCCTATATATACTGGCTCCCTCACTCTTTTCTGTTAGTATGTCTTGGTAAATGGTCCAATTTGGACCGAAACATCGTCGTAAGCTCCCCTCTCCTATCTGCGGGTTATCTGTGTACAGTTAATGAATAATTCCTAGTTTTTCCCTAGATCCAGAAAGTTTCATAATCGTTAAAAAAATACTTTATATTCCAAAGACATGAAAAAAATCATTCTTTCAATGTTATGGAACTTTCCACAGTTTCTTCTCGTTATTAAATATGCGGTACCGAAGCGTTAATTAACGAAAGACTAATCTGTATAGTTTAGTGGTTTGACATCAAGGACCCCAATGGGAATAAGTCACTTACTTTTTTGGGGGGGTTACCCTAGATAATTTACACTATATATGGTAATTGTACTTATGTGTACCTGTGCCTAAATAAACCTACTTACTTACAGAAGGCCCAGAAGCCCGAAAAAACTCTCGGTGCATAAGTTAGTTTAATATGTTTATTATGCACCCCATACCCATCCTGTGGGCGGTAGTCAAAAGATTAGAGGTACATAATTGGTCCACGGACTGGACTCCAAAGTTTTGATAGCTGAGCAAGTTACAATGGTAATGAACTAGATCTGGTCATAATCATGACCAAGTTACAAAGGTAATGAGCTCCAGGTAGAGCTGGTCACACTCATGAATAATTGCAAAGGTAATGAATCATAAACACATTAATCATGAGAATTTACAAAGGTAATGAGCTCCAGGTAGAGCTGGTCAAAATCATGACAGGTTTCAAAGGTAATGAATGATAAACACGTTATCACATGATTACAATCATAGACAAATTACAGAGTAATGAGCAGTTAACAAACATAGTAGGGAATTCATCCAATGCCCCAACAACAGATGTTGCTAGGTGCCTGTCTCTCCTCGGCAGACAGTCATTGCAAACAGCAGCAAGTATAGCAAATGCAATTGTTATCTATACAATACAAAGAGAATGGGTATTAAAGAAAACGGGATGAGCTGCACCTAGGGAGGACTCCATAAAATATTGGGGTGCTACCTTATCGCATGATCAACTGCCTATAATCTTTCTGGGCTCTTTTCCTTCCCAGATATACTTGCAATACCCGTAGGGCATAGACTATAGTAAAGAAATTCAGAAACCAATGGAGGGGTACTGAGGTAACAAATGGTGGAGAACACACATAACTACCGTGGCAATAAACACATAAGGAGAAATGGTTGCCATGCAACCCCTTGGAAGACAATCCGTCTAATGCAATAGATTGACAGGTCAAACAATGGTCAAAACATAAGTTTTAGCTTATAGCAGCCACCTCTCGTCGAGATGCCCGTGTAGAAACACGACATTTAAGGCATTCCAGAGAATTCATGAAATTATCGGGTTTATGATTATGATCAATCTCTTCTACCACAAATGAATAAGTATGAACAAGCCTTAGCTATTACTATATAATGAAAGGTTATCATGTATTATAAGTGCTGAGTCTATGATATTTCTTTCCAGCTTATTCGAACCAGTCTGCTCTGGCAGTCACAATGTTATGCATCGTGACTGCTAGAGCACTTGTGTATTTCTCCAACCGCCTCCATTATGTTATTCGAACCCACCTACAACAGAGGAGTCCAAACCCTAGTGTGGTAAAATTTTAGACTAAGAGCTGACTACCTAAGTTGGTGTAGGTCTGTCTAACCAGAGCATTTTCTTTCTTCCTGGTTTCGTGTAGCAGGAAGGAGTGGGCCAAACTTAGCGTCTTGGAACGCCTCCTGGCCGCTCTGGGCAAAGACTTCCATAGAGAACTTCCCCGGGGTTTGACCAACGACACGCTGGCTACCGTGCCCACAGATATCAACATTACCAGCGAAGATTGCTCAGACAAATACATGGTAAGTGGGCAACATTTGTGGATGATCGTCGTCCTCTCCTTCATAGGTTTGGGGATCACCCCGGGTATCGACACAGCAATCCGCTATTTAGTTATGAAGTCAAAGAAATTCATGCATAACTAAATGTGATATAAGTCAGGTGCTGAAAATGTCTAGGTAAGGCAAAAACCTCAAATAAGTCATTTTGGTTGGATAAATTTAGATTTAGAAATGATAGGAGAAAGCTACATGATACGCGAGTAAGAAAGATTAGGTGCAAATATAACTTGTCTAGCATGGGTCAGTAGGCCCACTGTAGTTCTTCCTTTATTTTATATTCATATTTGTATATATGCACTTAAATGCCTGCAGAAAGGCATCAGATGTAACTCTAAAACGAATGAACTAAAAGTTCGTGTACGTATATCCCCCACAGAGGTGCTCCTCGCAGGCCTTCTTCGCCTCCTGTGACATTCCCCGTAATACCGACCCAGAAATCTGGCCTCAACACTTCAACCTCTACTTCAATCTTTCCACCGACTTCGAGAGCGAAGTGATCAACGCCACTCTACGACTTTTTAAGAACAACTCTCCACCTCTCCAGTACCAAAAGACCTTGCTCGTCAGTGCCTATGTCTATACCAAGAGCCTTACCCGTAAACGCTGTGAGTGCTTTAAAAAATTATACATACTACCTGTTGCACCTCTATAAATCTTTTAGCTATGTAGTCTTTGGTGTTTATCTTTAATGTTATTTATATACAAAAACAACTGCAATATCTAACTCATATATCCTTATTCGTGTTGTTGAAAATGGTTTGATAATTTATATTTACAACAGGTCCTGCTGTCGGTCACGTACTAATAATTCCATTCTCTCTTTCTCTCGTGCAGCCAAGAAGACTAAGGTGGATGTCACCGAGGTGCCCAGCGACTACGTGGGTTATGTGCTCCTGACCGTGGACAAGATGGCGAAACGGTGGAAGCGACAGAAGAATAATCACGGCCTTCTTATTACCGTCAGTGACGTCGACGAAACCCCTTGGGATGCCTCACGTCTTTTCGTCACAATGGACTGCAACTCCAGTAACGTCAGTACGTACCCATCCGTTTTTCTTGTATAATTCTCTTCAGTACTCAGTGACAAATTTCCCTTAATATTTTTATTATTTTTCCTGGCATCAGTTGCTATGAACTACACAATCGCCATGAACAATGTAGGCATAAATACAGAAAATATCTGAGTAAATACTGTGTTGTTTGCAGGTTTGGTACCATTGCCCTTCGAGGTACAAACTGACGATGAAGATCAACGCTTCCCTGCCATCAGCCTGGTCTTGGGCACCCCACAAGACGAAGGGGAAGCCAACCCACCCTCCCCCAGACCCCTGCCTGTTGTCCTCCCTGAAGGCGTCACTATGGACGTCCAGTCCGAAAATTCCAATAACTACCTACTGGGCAGTGAATATCCATTAGGCATAGATTACCCACTGGTCACCAACCATCATTCCTCCACTAGTCAAACCCACCACCATCCCAACCCTGGCAACTACGACACTGACATTCTGCACGAAGATTGTCATGACGAGGTCGAAAGCGAAATAAATCCAAGATTTCATGGTACACAGGAGACCCTGACGGGTAACAGTCGCGGCGGCAGTGTGTTTGAGCGCGGGTGGTCAGGAGAGAGGGGTTCATCAGGAGAGTCTTGGAGTCAACCAACGCCGGCATCTGAGGAAGCCCGCAGCCAGCGACAGCGAGGAGCCACCAAAGAAAGGCGACACCGTAAGAAGCACCGCCAACACCATCGCCGCGGCTTGGAACGACGCAATTCGCATGTGTGAGGCGTTCAACTTCGCCTCTGAACCCTCAGGAAGCTAGGATTCGGCGGCGCTGCTGCCCGGTCCAACACTACGTCCTACCTGAGTCCCGCCCTGTACATAGCATTGCTGATGCTCCAGTTCCTTGTCTCGGTTTATTTATGAGAGTGAGTGAGTCTTTTTTATGAGTTATGGGAGAAAATGTTCCTGAGCCCGAAAAGTGTTTATGCTGAGCACTGAACGCTCAGTTGTAATATTAGTATGTGTGTGTATGTTAATGTTTGGTGAGTGACGATGAAGCGTCTGAAGACGAGCCACATTGCCAAGCTCTAGAGGTCCGCGTCTTCTGGTACTGTATGAATGGAGCCCAGATGGCCAAGGGTCACTGTGACCTAGAAGTGTGTGTGTGTGCGTGTGTACTCACCTATATGTACTCACCTATATGTGGTTGCAGGGGTCGATTCATAGCTCCTGGCCCCGCCTCTTCACTGGTCGATACTAATTCACTCTCTCCCTGCTCCATGATATTTGTCATACCTCTTCTTAAAGCTATTTATGGAACTTGCTTCCACTACTTCACTCTCCAGATTATTCCACTTCCTGACAACTCTAAGACTAAAGAAATACTTCCTAACATCCCAATGAATCATCTGGGTTTTCAATTTCCAATTGTGTCCCCTTGTTTCTGTATCCCATCTCTGATGTGTGTGTGTGTGTGTGTGTGTGTGTCTGTGTGTGTGTGTGTGTGTGTATGTATGTGTGTGTGTGTGTGTGTGTGTGTGTGTGTGTGTGTGTGTGTGTGTGTGTGTGTGTGTGTGTGTGTGTGTGTGTGTGTGTGTGTGTGCGTGTGTGTGTGCGCGTGTGTGTGCGCGTGTGCGTGCGCGTGTGTGCCGTTGTGCGTGCGCGTGTGTGTGCCGTTGTGCGTGCGCGTGCGAGTGTATGGTGTTCAGTGTTGTGCTGTGTCTCACCACACTGCACGAGTGTGACCACGCCCGGCTTGCCGGTGTCTCGTGGTAGAATCACATTCCAAGTCAGTTTGTTCAAGTCAATTCGTGTACCTTGACTAACATGTGCCATACGCCAAGTCATTTAATACTAAGATTTGTTTACGGGCAAGAGTGTTGGCATCGTGTTGAGCAGCCAGTGTGCAGCGGACTTCCAGGTGGATATGAATAACCCAGGTGTGCAAAATTTACCTTGAGTGTACAACGATACTCCTGGATAATGAACAACTAAATCTATGGATGCAAAACTCTTCCCCCAGGTGCGCAACAACCTCCCCGGGTATACAACAATCTCCCCGGGTATACAACAATCTTCCCGGGTGTGCAACCATCTCCCCGGGTGTGCAACAACCCACTGCTCTACCTAAAAACCCACCAGCTGGTGGGTTGTGTGCTGCGGGGAGAGTACATCCCTTTCACATACTCCCATGTCCACCTGGAGATTTGACAGTGTTAATGTAACCTCAGCACGGTGTGCCATGTCCTCAAGGCTTTAGACTATTATCTAGAGCCTCGCAGTGTGGTTCAACTTCCCCAGGGCTTAACAGTGTTTAATAATCCAGCCCGCAGCCTCACTGTTCCACATTTGCCTTATATTTAAGTTCTTTAACTGGACATCTCAAGATGCCCTCCCATTGACTTAGGCTCAGTTACGAAAATTATGATCATATCAAATACCACTGAATCGTTTTATATATATATATATATATATATATATATATATATATATATATATATATATATATATATATATATATATATATATATATTATATATATATATATATCGTGCCGAATAGGTAAAACTGGTCAATTAGCAAGAGCTCATTTAAAATTAAGTCCTTTCTAAAAAAAATTCTCTTAATACTTTTAAAGATTTTTTTCATTTATGTTAATGTAAAAATTAATAATTTTGTAACAAAAGAACCTTAGAAAACTTACCTAACCTTATTATAACAAGCGCAATTTAATTTAGAATAATCCAACCAAATATATTTAGATAAGTTTACAATAATTTAATAATAAACAAAGACAATGAAATATATTTTTATCGTTAGGTTCAGAATGATTTTTGTGAAATTACTGCATACACAAATTTTCGCTTGCCTTATTCGGAAAGAAGAGCGTTGCTATTTAAACCAAATTCGCAAGTTTTACCCATTCGGCATGACATTTATATATATATGTCGTGCCGAATAGGAAGAACTTGCGATCTTAGCTTAAATAGCAACGCTCATCTTGCCATATAGGACAAGCGAAAATTTGTGTATGTTTACCTGGAGTTTACCTGGAGAGAGTTTCGGGGGTCAACGCCCCCGCGGCCCGGTCTGTGACCAGGCCTCCTGGTGGATCAGCGCCTGATCAACCAGGCTGTTGCTGCTGGCTGCACGCAAACCAACTATGTAGTAAGTTCGCCAAAATCATTCTGAACCTAACGAAAAAAATATATTTCATTGTGCTTGTTTAGTATTAAATTACTGTAAACAAATCTAAAATATATTTAGTTGGGTTATGCTAAAATAAATTGTTCTTGTTATAACAAGGTTAGGTAAGTTTTCTAAGTTTCTTTAGGTGCAAAATTATTTTTTTTTACATTAACATTAATGAAAAAATATATCTTTAAACGTATAAGGGAAAATTTTGGAAAGGACCTAATTTTAAATGAGTTCTTGCTAATTGACCAGTTTTACATATTCGGCATGAAATATATATATATATATATATATTATATATATATATATATATATATATATATATATATATATATATATATATATATATATATATATATATAAATATAAATATATATATATATATATATATATATATATATATATATATATATATATATATATATATATATAAATATAAATATATATATATATATATATATATATATATATATATATATATATATATATATATATATATATATATATATATATCTTTCAACACACCGGCCGTATCCCACCGAGGCGGGGTGGCCCAAAATGAAAAACGAAAGTTTCTCCTTTTACATTTAGTAATATATATATATATATATATATATATATATATATATATATATATATATATATATATATATATATATATATATATATATAGTTAGTTTAATAAGTTTAAACGGGTATTACAGTCAGTCAAATGTGTAAATACAAAAAGTACCTGCTATTTGTTTGAGGTTGTTGAGTTGGTCAGACGTGGAAGGCTGGCAGCTCGGGGTCAAGGGAGAGGAACCAGGTATTGCCTTTATCGTCAAAATATATTGAGACATCAATTTAGGAACCTCTTTTATATAATATCAGTCAGACTGATCTTTACCTGTGCTGTATCTGTTAAGTACTGCTTTATAGAAGCCATATATAGTGGTTATCGTTACTTAGGTTGGTCACTGTTCACTGCTAATGATGTACATGTGCTGCCACTTTATGTGTCAAACGCTTAACCGAGTTACTTAGTTTTTCTTTCACTGTACAACTAGTATATAATGGGTAATCTTTCTCAAGAGCAGTGCAATATTTTTAACGGACAAAGATGGCGTTGTACTTCTAATGGTGCTTAAGTAGGACCTTTATTAGTTTAGTGTGTGATGTACCACTAGCACTTAAGGGCAGAATTTAAATATATCAGTTAGGCAAGTCAACAATTCAGTGGTCCACGTCCACCTCAATATTATTCGTCCATTATCTGTTGAAGTGATAATTTGTAAAAAATAATTGTAAAACAAAAAATCACATTCTCTGAAAAATTAAAATCAAGCGTGAAAACGGCGGGATAACCTCCTCCCGACTTTGTCTGTAGGAGGCGACTTAATTAAAAAATAAAATTCATCGGCAACATTACAAGTTTTGATGTATTTGTTTTGATGCTAAACTTATTCGCTTGTGTTAGACTTCCATCACATTCAACTACGAGCGTTTTCCCAGCCTCTCTCTCTCACTGAGAGACTTATCACAGATGAGCACGATGCTGCTGATAACTAGGCCTCACATGAGTGTTTGTAAACAGGGAAAGCTGTCAGCACCAAGAGGAAGCAATCTCTGGGCGCGTCTCATTCTTAAGCTTCAGTATATTGGGATATTAAAGAACTTAGCACTAAGCTTTTAAGTTTCATTTCTATTTAAAGGTATTTTTAGTGTTATGTACAAAGCTAGTGCATTTATGTATCCGACCTCTAGACGGATTAACGTGTGTTTTCAGGTAATATACAAAACGAAGCAATAGGTTCATTTCTACTCTTCATTCTACGTAGTGTGTTGACTACTGGGTTTATTGAGATATTTGCCTGGACCTCCCCAGCAGTCGACACTAGGCTAAATGCCTCGTTCTAGTGTTATGTTTGGTGTAAAACTGTGTAAATAGTCTTATATCCTGACTGTATATATAGATTTATTTTATTTCAGTAAATAATTTTCTAGCTATCTAACTTGTTTTTTATTAACCATACATAAATATTTAAAGTTAATGTTTTTACCCAGGGCCCCATATTATAGAAGTTGGTCCTCATCTCCACGCTCCCCTCCTTCCTTCATATCAAATTCTAAATGGAGAAATTCAAAAAGTCCTCTTTATTTAACTAGAAAATTTGAGAAACTAGTTTTCATTCCTAAATTAACCAGTTTTACCTATTCAAAAGTCTGTTTAAACTCCACTCTTGACAATAGCAAGAATCAGAACAGGAACCCAAAAACCAGAGCACGAAAAGGAAATAAAGTGTGACATACAAATGCAAATGGAATAACAGTGATGAATGGAAAGAGCGGGTATTGGAGTCATTCCCAGAAATCGTAACAAAAATGGAAACAAAGCTCACAGAGCTGATTACGGATGTGATCTTATAAGAATATCAAAAAATGTGAAAGGACAGAGAAAACAAGGGTGAAGGAGAAGCGTTGCTAATCAGAAATTAGTGAATTTTTGAGAAGTGGAATAAATGGAAATGGGTTAAATAACTTACATACTATGGAAACTTAATAGTGGTGTACAACCCACTACTAAACAAAGGGAGACCAAGACAGGAACATGACACCAACAAAGCGATGGTGGATAAGACAGCAGAGATGGCTAGAAGAACCCGCATAGGCAATGTAAAACTACTGATCATGGAAACTTCAACCATAAGCAAACAGACTAGGGAAATCTGCCATTGTACGAGAAGAGAGTCTCGGAATAGACAAGTGTGACGAATGGGGTTCCACAAGGGTCAGTACTAGGACCAGTATCTTGTGTATGTAAACTACGTGACATTAGAAACAGAGTCAGATGTATTCATCCCTGTTCCCAGATGACGTGAAACTAATAAAAATACAGACAGAAGCAGATCAGGAAAACCTACAAACAGATCTGGATAAACTGCAGGGTTAGTCTGACCTGGCTGCTAGCATTTAACCCCAACAAATGCGAAGTTATGAAAATTGGGAAGGGCAAAGACGACCGAAAACAGAGAACAGGCTTGGGAACAAAAGCTGCAAACCCCCGAAAATAGAACGAAATCGAGCTGAGCATAGTTCCGACCGTTACAACTGAAGCTCACATCAATTGAATAGCTACATCAGCAAAAGCGAGATTGGCAAAGTTGAGGAAAAACTTTCTGGAGCCTCAACAAGGAGTTATTCACGACACTACATACGACATTTGTCAGGCCCATCTTAAGAATATGCATAATCAGTATGGAACCCTCATCTGTTAAAGCAAGTCATTATTATTATTAATACTTTTTATGAAACGCTGAACCCATGAGGGTCATTCAGCGCAAGGAGTGGTAGAGGCTCGATAGACCATGTCAAGAAGCTGGAAGATGTACAAAGGTTTATAACGAGACTAGTCCCAGAGCTAAGAGGCATAAGGTATGAGAGGCTAAAAGATCAAGTTGATACAAATCAGAGGACAGGAGCAGGAGTGACATGAAAACTACATACAAAATACCGAGGGGTCTCAGAGTGGACAGAGGAGTTCTGTTCGAGATACGGGTTTCAGGTACACGAGGACACAGCAGGAAGTTAAAAACACAGATAAATTACAGATGACAGAAAATACTTCAATAGCAATAGAGTTGTCAGGAACTGGAACGACCTAGACAGTGAAGTGGTAGAGGCAGGATTTTGAAATGCTTGATACTTGCTGTGCAGTGAGTTGATTAAAAAAAAGGGATAGGGGGACTGAGAGGAGTGCCTTTTTTTAATCGAATTCCAGTCAAAAATAAAAAAAGACTATCACGCGAAGTGGTTAGCAGCATCAAAAGACAAAACCGGCCGACAATAGCCTACACTCACCTGCGTAGAAAAAATTTCACCCGAAGTAAACAGCTGTCATTCATTCATGTTTATCAAGCCCTTCAAAGGCGGTGCTTTTGATACCA